AGGGGAAAGGCGACTCTGAGGTTTATCAGATTTCATCCTGAAGTCATGGAGGAGTTCTGAACGACCATGCATTTGATGTCTGTTCTCCACACACTGTAACCATGAGTGAAGGAAGAGCCTTTGAGGTAGACAGAAGGGGTGGAACAGTGTAATACTTTCAGAACTCCCTCCAGGGTTCACTAGGGATTTCCAGAAGCAAATACAGAAGTAGCATGTTATTTTGTTTTAAGATAAAATAAACTCAAGGCCATTAAGTTATTATTATGTCTGATACATGTGACACCAGGCCCACCTGTGCCCTCAATCCCACAGACATTTAGAGTTAAAATTACTGTGCATACTTAATGCTACACGTTTTTGTTAAATATATCATTGCCAGAAATAATAGATGCCCTGGGACATAAACCTAAAATAACATGGAATTTTCTGTCAGGTAATCTTTAGTTTAAACTAAAAATAACCTAAGCAGTAGTTTATATAAACCTCAAGTATCAAGACTCCCAGCCCAGTGTTAGTTCATCAAACTGTAAATTTATGAGGCACTTTGTTAGCATTTTAACATTTTTAAAATAGATCAGGCGTGATCTATATTAGAGACAGGCTCTGGAAAGCCAAGAATCCCACTATTGATGGCTGGAACATTCTTCAGGGAAGTCCTCTTCTGAAGGCTGGAAGAGGGACGTGCTGCTGGTGGATGCAGAATCGCTGACTGCACATTCAACTTTTCTGAGCACTTTTGTAACCATCCTGCGAATCTCCTAAGAGACCAGGGCCTCTGGCCAGGAGAGTCCAGAAGTGTGGAGAGAGGAGGCTTTTCTATTTTATAACCAATCTGAAAATCAGAGAAAACTTGGATGTGGTTTCAAGCCTAACATCCCTATGCCCATGGTGAGACTATCCTCCCAGGGCTTGGATCTCCTTGGGCTGCCATTTTCCAAAATATCCTTGTTGGGAGGGGCAGGGGGGAACCTGTCTGGTTCAGAAGATCCTGCCTAGGGAAGATGGAAGGTGGTTTTTCAAAGTGCAAAGATAGAATAATTAAATGGTGTATTGATTCTCCATAGATTGTGGACCAGGTTTGGAAAGGTGGGAAAGAGGTTTGAGGGAATTCCTGTAGGTAGAATTGGGATCCACTAAGGGGTTTAACCATTTCTGAAAATAAGATTGACTTGCGCCTAGTTGGGGAACGTGCAAATTTGGTAACAGTTGACATGTTCTTCAAGCTACAACTCGTGAGGCCTTCTTTATTTGGGTCTGTTTTGGAAGAAAGGGTTTCTGTGATGGAGGACTGGGGAGGGGTGGGGGAAGGCCAGTGGAACTGCTGTGTAAGTTCCCAGATAATTTACCCAAGGACCCAGCTCAGAATCCCAGAACTTTAGGCTTTGGGGAAATCATTAATCTTCCTTAAGAGACAAAAGATTTCTTTATCTTGGGCTGTTCCCTTAGTGTTTCATGACATTGTTATACATAGAACTTACTTGCTTCATTTCCTTCATGGGCAAGGTCATGTTCAAAATAGGGTCTCTGGTCTGGGATTCAGGTGAGGACTCTGGGGTCTGTCCATTGGAAGGAACATTCCTTCTTTCTGAGTAAGGACTGCCCTGCCAAAGCTGGATGGAGACAGAGCAGTTTAACCCATTCCATGTGCAGTAGTTACCCCACATTATAAAGGCTGAAGCCATTTTTCTCATGAGATATTTCTATAATTATCACCATATGGGGATCCACGGAGGTCTCCAGGAGCAGAGGAGACCTCCACTCAGACTTTCTAGGTTCTTGACCACATCACAGAAAAGTGCAAAAAATAATTTAAGGTTGTGCCAGGTACAAGTACCAGATGAGCAAGAAACTTTTATAAAGGGAAAGTACTCACTTGGGAGTGGGAGTGTGGGAAGTCTCAAGAGCGTCAGTCACCCCATCTCGATCTGGAGTTTTAGCATTTATGGAGGGCCAGCAGCAAGGGGGCTATGCTGGAGGTGGAGTCAGGGCAGGGTTATGCAGTTTTGTACCAGTTTTCCTTGTGCATTGCCTTGGAATGTTCTAATTATGCTACTTCCTCCATCACATGTCTCATTAGCATTTTAAATCTCCATCCAGGAGGATGCATCTTGCTATTTTAATGATAGGGTCATTTATTGGTCACCACCGTCTTTATGCATATGCTCCCTACAGCAGTGGTTCCTCCAGCTGCCTTGGGGTTGTCCTGCAGTGTCGTTGCTTTTTCATCAGCCGGTCAGCAAGCTGCAGGCAAGGACTTGGGTACAAGGTCATGGGCTAGATTGCTCATGAGTTATTTGCTCTGTGTTCCAACAGTTTATGGGCATTTCTCTTTTGAGACTCAGTGTTCTCTCCATATCCTTAAATTCCTATCTCATAACTTCTACACAGTTTGCAGACTTCATTAAAATCCATCAAAAATTTTAAGTCTACCTGTTTGAAAACATCATCACTAGTTTTATTTACTGATATCAAATCAAACCATACATTACATCTAAGGTAAGTCATTCTTGTATAACCTAAATGTACTTTAAAAAACATTCACTTCCCTCAAAACTTAATATGAGATAAATACACATGCATACATATACATATACATACATGTGTACACATACATACATAGCAGGCAGAAAGAAACTAAAAATCTGACTTCATTTAACATAGTGTTTTCAAAGCTCATCCATGCTGTTACATATGGAAGAATTTTTCCTTTTAAAGACTGTATAATATTCTATTATACGAATGTAACACATTTATCCATGCATCCATCAATAGACATTTAGATTGTTTCCACATCTTGGCTAATATATCTTTGATCCTGCTTTCACTTCTTTTGATTAAATATCCAGAAGTGAAATTGCTGGATCATGCAGTAGTTCTGTTGTAATTTTTTTGAGGACCCTTGGTACTTTTTCTCCATAGAAGTTACACTACACCATTAGGCATTCCAACCATCAGTGATCAGGCATGCCAATCTCTCCACATCATTACATGTACTTGTCTTTGTTTTTTTGATGACAAACATCATAAAGGTATGAAGCGATATCTCATTAGGGTTTTGACTTGCATTTCCCTGTTGATTAATGACATTGAGCATCCTTTCATGTACCTGATGGTCATTTGTATGTTATCTTTGGAGAAATGGTTAAGTCAAGTCTTTAACCCATTTTAAAATCAGGTTATTATTTTTTCCTGCTACTGGCTTATAGGAGTTCCTTATGTATTTTGGAGGTTGACTTTTTACAATACGGTAAGTGAAGTGAAACAATCATGGGAAGAACAAGACTTGTTGATTTCACTTACATGTGATATCTAAAATAGTCAGATTCATGGAATTGAAGAATAGAATGAATGGTGGTTGCCAAGGGCTGAGGAGAGGGCAGTGGAGAGGGGATGGATGAGTGGGCATCAAGTTTCAGCTAAGCAAGATAAATAGGTCAAGAGAGCTGCTGCTGTGCATTAAAACTACAGTGAACAATACTGCATTGTATGCTTAAACCCTTAATAGGATAGATATCATATTTAGTGTTCTTACCACATAAAGTTTTTAAAAGTAAACCTCAAAATAAAAGAAATATACTGAGAGTAAAAGTAAAAAAGAATGTATTTAAGGCGCAAAGAATGAATATCTTTTAAATAACTTTTTATTTCTAACAGAATTCTTTTTAAAACTGAAAGAAAATTGTTTTCCCATGTATTCCATATAAATCATCATTTTCTGTTGTCCACCAAAAAAAAAAAAGACAAAAAGTGAGAAATTGCATTGAGAAATAGGACCCTCTTTATTCAGCAAAGCAATTACTGGAAATGTCTAAATTATTTTTATTGGCCAGAATTATCTAATTATTTCTTGGCTCTTCTTTTTACCTTAAGTGGAGGGACACCTGACCTCTCAATAGGAGGATCAGCTGGGATTTAACCAGAGATGGTTTTCATTATTCTGCTGAGTAGTTTTTTTTTTTTTTTTAATAAGTACCTCTTCTCACAGGCTGGCTGTGATTTGACGCTATAAATGACAGCTGGTCCACCATTCTTTCTTCTTCTGGTCTATTACCTGCCACTTGAAAAGTAGCTAATATTTTTTACATGAACCAAAGCATGATTTTTTTTTTCCTCCATTGGGATTGTTGGCAAAGAATAGGCATCCTTACACACACGAGGTCTCCCCTCTGGGCATCATGAGTCAGCAAACTGTGCTCTCTGGTGCAGTAAACTGCATCTCAGCCCCTCGCAGTGATGGGACGTATATGAACTCTGGTGACTCATCGTTCAGATTACAGCCTGTGGCCCACTATCCATGCCTAGTCACGCATTCTGCTGTCTTTCCGGTCCAGATGGGCATGGAAGGTGACGGGATTGATCTTGGTAGACCCAGGTATAGAGATATGAAAAACCAAAAAGCCACAGTTATTTATGAACTTGAAAACTCAAACCCATGACATTTGATAACTGAGTGTCTTGGGTGATTCCCACTGGCCCTTAGCACTGTGACTTATCTCCAAGAAATACCAAACACTTGAACCTCTAATGGAATATTTAGAGTAAGGAAGTCTGATCGTCAGAAGTTGAGAGTTTAGGGCTGGGCTTGTGGCTCAGCAGTAGAGGGCTCGCCTCATATGTGCAAAACCCTGGGTTCGATCCTCAGCACCACATAAAAATAAATAAGTGAAATAAAGGTATTGTTTTCAACTACAACTAAAAAATAAATATTATAAAAAAGGAGTTGAGAGTTTAAGAGCTATAATGTCAGTTAATTATCACACTTCATTTAAAGATTTTCATTTATTTATATTGTCTCTTTGTTCAATCAGTTTTCTTTCACTTTGTGAGCTAATCACCACTTTATTTATCTGTAAACTCCTGCTGTGATCTCTGTGAGAGCAGCTATCACCCTATATCACTTGTATTTAGACTTAAGTGTACATAGTGTGCTTGAACCTGGACCTGGAAATGAGACACCTGTAACATAGTGTTCCTCTCTCCTCCTCCTTCTCTTTGGACAGCTTGGGGATGAACCATGACGATGACCACTCATCCTGTGCTGGCCGGTCCCACATCATGTCGGGCGAGTGGGTAAAAGGCCGGAACCCCAGTGACCTCTCTTGGTCCTCCTGCAGTCGAGATGACCTTGAAAACTTCCTCAAGTAAGCCCTTGAATCATTCTGTAGCATTAGTACAATAGAAAATTCTCCCCAAATGCAAAATTATTAGAATCCTTTCAGCCTGAAGAGGTGGTCAGTGCAATATCCTATAACAGGCAAATGCTTCCTCCCAAGTGTGCATCTGGTATGACATTGGACACCCAGCAGGTGACCATTAAATAATTATTCAATGATGGCAATATCAACATAGAGACCCTGGCTTAAAAATCCACTTCATTTCTTTGCAGTCCTGTGACCATGAGTGGACACCACCTGAGAGGTGCTCCTTGGGAACTGTATGCGGTGTTGAACACTCCCTGGGTGCTGAGGCTGCCTCCCTTGGTAGGGAGTGAATTTGCTGCAGGGTGGGTTTGCTCACCACCTGCTCATGTGGAGACAGGACGTGTTGATCTCAATGCTACTTTCTTCCTAGAAGATGTCTACATCATTCCATTTTTACATTTTCTGTGGAAGAATTGCTCATCTAGTTTCAGATCCTTGTCAAACTGAGTGTACACACAGACTGTTCTGGTCATAGAGTGTTGAAACCTTGGGGCTTGGAACGGGAGTATAGCTCAGTGGTGGTGTACTTATCTGGCATGAGTGAGGTCCTGGGTTCAATCCCCAGTACTGCAGCACATACACACATACATACAACCTCCCTCAAGGCTGGCTTATAGCATTGATGTGTGTGCCCTGAGTACTTCTCTACTTAGTCATGTTAATCTGTAGAACAGAGGTGAGTCAGTGAATCTCACCTACATATGCAGCTTTACAGTCCAAGGTATTAAAGTACTCAGGCAATCTGGGATAAAGCAGCAAAGGCATCGTCTAGGTCTTCTCTCATGTTTCCTATTGATGGGGAAATTGCTTAAGTGGTAAGCAGGCTTAAAAATGAACCCATTGGTTTTAATATGGTCTACTTCCCCTGAGTGTGTGTTATCATAGAATTTTAGTAAAATTTTATAGCTATGTGATGTTATTTGTTGTACCCAACAGAGTTGGTACAACCAGAGAGTGTGTTTTCATTTGCTCACATACACAGTGCTGACTCCACTGGTGACAAGTAATGTCTTAGTCTGGAGAAGATGGGCCAGCCTCAGCTATGTGTACTGGCATGCATGCAATTTTCAAGAATTTTGGCAAGTTACTGGGTTTTCCTTTTAATACCATCTGCCTTGCTTTAGGAATGGAGGGGGCGGGAAGCATTAAAGTATTTTTGACCCTCTAATCAAGCTTCCTTTTTGGAAATATACCTCTCATTGTAAGTAAGCATTTCTGTTCTGATTGAAATCCTAAAGTCCTCCTTAGAGTGTACCATTGGCCAGCCTTTGGTGGCAGCAGCAGGTGTAGTCAGGTGAGACAGCTGCCTTGTCCCCACAGATCTTTGAAAGAGAATTTGTGAAGTTGGAAATAAGCACTTTGATTTTATTTAAATTACACTTGTTCTTTATTCATAGTAACTTTTGTCCAAAAACCATATTCTAAGAAAATATCATGGTCATTTATTTCAAAAACATTTTTTGTCAAACTCCCCATTAAAGACCCTTTGCTTCAAGGGTGTTGCTCCTGGGCCCCTCCTGAGTGGCCGGTTTCTTGATAATCCACATGCAGTCATGTGGGAACAAAAAGCAAACAAAGCACAATCCACATGTCCAGTGCTGGGTCCTTCTCCCATAAATCACTTGAAGGTGCATCATTCTTTTTTAAATATTTATTTATTTATTTTAGTTTTAGGTGGACACAGTATCTTCATTTTATTTTTATGTGGTGCTGAGGATCGAACCCAGTGCCTCATGCATGCTAGGCGAGTACTCTATCACTGAGCCACAACCGCAGCCCGAAGGTGCATCATTCTTAAAGACCAAAAAATCAAAAACCTGAACAGTACATTTGCAAGTCAGCTTACCTCTTGGCTGTTTCAGGTCCAAAGTCAGTACCTGTTTGCTGGTCACAGACCCCAGGAGCCAGCATGCAGTGCGCCTCCCTCACAAGCTGCCAGGCATGCACTACAGCGCCAATGAGCAGTGCCAGATCCTGTTCGGCACCAATGCCACCTTCTGCAAAAACATGGAGGTAAGCATCCAGGGGAAAGCTGGCTCAGGAAGGGCCACTGATATAGGTATTCACACTTAACATGTGCATATATGTGTACATAACACACATTAAGAGGCATTTGCACATATGTAGCGTAGATAGCCACACATGCATGCATGCCCACACTTGTGTTTCAGGCCCCTGCATACAAGGCAGTTTTGAAGGGGGATGCTTCAGGCTTTCTACTGAAAAAGAGAAGCCTAGTATTTTAGCATGAAAAATTTTGAATGCTAGAGAAAGAAGAGTGACCCATACTTCTTGGAAGTGATCTGACATCATCTGATTTCAAACTTTGCAAAGATAAGGAAGAGGACTAAAAACTGTTAAATGTTGGAGAATGTCAGATGGAGAAAATTTCAAATGTAATAAATCAGTTATATAATAGTGATAATAACCCTATTGAATAGCATTTATGGAGCAGCGTCTATGTGTCTGGTCCCAAAGTGTCTAATCTCCATGCTCCCAATTAGTTCTCACCATAACTCCCTAGATTCTATCTCCACATTACAGATGATAAGAGCAAATCAAACTAAGTAAGTGGCCATTCACAGTGTCTTGGTTAGTAGGTAGGAAAACAAGGATTTGAATCCAAGTGCATTCGCACCCAGAGCACACACTTTTTCACTGTGCAGCAAAGAGGGAGGCCCATGGCTTGGCTCATTCTGCAGATGGAGAGTACCAAGAGAAACATGCTGGGACCTGGGGCACGATAGGTACCATGCCCATGGCCATCTGTGTAACAGCCACAGGAGGTCCAGAATGGCCAGAGAAGCCTGCATTCCAGTGGAACTCAGCTAGGGAGCACAGCCTGCCCCATCCTGGGGCAGAAGAAGGACAGAATAAAGGAAAGTATTTAGAGATTTGTGGGGCTCAGGAGCCACCCAGGGGCAGGCAGCCCAAGAGAGAGCTAAGCACAGGGCTCAGGATAGCATCTAGTCCCGGGAAGGATCTGTGGAGGGCTGACCAGGAACTTACAACAGAATCCAAACCAAGGAAGACAGGTCCACAAGGGCTGCCTACAGAAGGAGGCCTCGGATCCTGGCAAGCCTCGACTCACAGGGAGTTCATGCTACCTCTTGAGGACTTCCTATCTAAGAGTTGGGGTGACATCCTGCAGGTGGGGCACGGCACTGTTTGGGGTATGAGAACAGCAGCACCTCAACACCCAGCTGGTACCGACTGCCAGCTGTTTTTCCCAAGGACACTTATCCACAGTGTTGTTCTAAATCCTCATCTGCTGGTCCCCTGGGCAGTGTGATCAGTGCCAGGATTCTGACTGCCCCAGCAGCCTTCCATGTCTAATGCTCCTCATCAGCCTCTGCACAGCTTGACCATTAAAGCTCTCGTTTCTATATGTATGTGTCTGCCAAGAGCATTCAGTTTGCTTACACTTCATTTTCAGTCTCCAAAGTGAATCGATGATACAAATATCAAGAGAGCAGTTTTCAGGGGGGCCTTTGATGGTGTTAAGCTCAGTACAAGACCAACACGAGGATATACGTCTAGAACCCTCCCAAAGACACTGAGCATTTAGGGAAGACAGAAGGGCCCTCCCTAGGGTTGAGAAGGGGAGGTTCCCAGTGGATTCAGAGTGCCCAGTAGGGAGTCCTACCCAGCGCTGCTGAGAGGAGGCAGGTCAGAGGAGCTGGCCTTCCAGGGTGTAAGATTGAATGGGTGGATCTGGACAAACACCACCTTCCCTGCAAGCTGAGCCATTTTTCCCTCTAGGAGCCAGGTGATTGCAGGAAGTTGGGGTTGAGGAAGGGAGACACATATTGGGCACCAGAAATCTCCCGGGCTAGACTCTGCCCTTGCACTGTTGTACAGTACCCTAACTGCAACACTTAGGCACTTAGGGATGTAAGAGGATGGTCAGGAAGGAAAGCCCAGTGTGTCTATTACTGAGGGAGAGAAGGGAATCTGTCTTCAAAGACCCCAAGAGAGAGAAGGCTACATGATATTTTATTTTACTTCATTAACATCTTTTCATTTAAAGAGGACAATTAGAGGTCGACAAATAATGAATGGTTAGGTCAGCTTTGTAGCTCCTTATCCCCTAGAGACTCAAAATGCAAATAAATTTGTAATGCAATCTTCCCATTTGTAAGATGCCATGAAATTGAACTTTTAATCCCACAGCTCCCCAGGAACTGCACCTCATGTTTTCTTACTTGCTTTTACCTTGAGTGTTGCACCAGTAATCAAATAAAATAGTGTTTTCTGCCCCGATAGCAGGAGTCATTATGTGCGGGGGGTGGGGAGAGTGAAGTAGTGGAGTCACCATGGTGGCTGCCAGCGTCTGCTAGTCACTAGTCATTGTTCCACTTGCAAGGACTCTGACAGTGAGGTGGCAGCTACTGCTCATGCTGGAGAACATGTCTCACTAATGCTTCTGCACTACCTTGGAAGGTCAGAGATTTGGGACACACTGCCCTGGGTCTGGGCTGGTCCTCTAAGTCAGATCCAGACCAAGATACCAGCACAGGTTTGGATTCCAGGGATGACAGTGTGGTCAGACTGCTCCCTCTGTGCCTATAGAAGTATGTGCTCCAGAATGAGTTCAGTGTGGCAGGATCACAGACGTCTTCTATTGCCATCCCTCCCTGCTTTCTGGAACAGGATCGCCGCGTTGCCCCCTACCATGTCGTTTCTGTGTTCCTCTTCACCTGCTCTGTTGCAGCTATCCTGCTGCCTTCCTGCAGCTCCCAGCGGGGTCATGCCCCACTGTATGCAGCCCCTTCCTCTGCCTGGCAGCTCCTCTCTTAGTTATCTACATGAATCATTCCTCATCTTTTTTGAGGAGAGATTTTTTGTAGTTGTTGTTTTTGAATGTAACCTTCTCAATGCGACCTATCCCGACTACCCTGCTTGACACTATGATCAGTAGCCCTCCTCTGCCCACCCTTGCAGCACCGACTTCCAACTGACCCCTTAAGGGAAAGCGCTGCTTCCAGATACTTATTTTTTTTAACATGCTGCGTAGTGCACTTACTTATTATGACTGGTAATTCCCCTCTTCTAGATCAAAAATCTTTCAAGGGCAGTAATCTTAACTTTTGCTCACCAGTAATTTTCGACTGCCACGAGCAGTGCCTGGTACACAGTAGGCACTCAATAAGTATGTGTCGCTCTGGGATCCAGCCATGACCCTAACTGAACGTTTGTACAGTCCTGCTTGTGTGGCTTCACTCACCTGCTGATGAATCTGTGGACAGGAGCAGAGTTGAGAAAAAGATCCTTAGAGACCTCCCCATGAGATATATTACTCTCTAAACCTGATTGCACGGTTCTCCATCTGGTTCACTACCATAAAGGGTGAATCTGCCAGATGTCTTGCAAGGGTCCATGCAGACCACTCCCATGGCTCCCTCCCAGGACAAGAACCATTCAAGGAAGGGCAGTGAGTCTGGTAGGGAGTGAGTGCAGGCTGGTTCCTAGTGATTGTTTCTCTTTCTCTGTGCCTTGGTGTCCTCACTAGTAAAATATCAGGCTTCTGGTCAGTTAAGACATGTAAAGTGTAGAGAAATGGTTCTGTCATAAAGTTAGTGCCCAATATGGTGAGCTGATAGCTGTGTTGTTATTTTCTTCCTGGACAATGCCAGTTCCCACCTGTGGGAGACAGAACCAATCTATCTGTTCATTTATAGGATCCACGTTTTTCTATATTGAATTCCTGGGTGCTATGAAAAAATGAAGCATCGTCTTAACTCTTCATTCCTCCTCATGTAGCCAGAGACACCAGAACCAATCAGTTCTTTTAATTCAGTGCCATAATTGATCTTTGTAGTCATTATTACCCTTTCTTTTCCTTGAGGATTGAAATGGATATCACGTTATGAAATGACATGGTCTCAAATATGCCTTTAAGTTTCTCACCCCAACTTCTTCTTCTGGCCAAGATGGAATGACAGGGGCCAGATTTACTCTCCTGTCTGAATTCAAATGATTGATCAATCAATCAAAAAATGAGTGATTTCTTAAGACACTTTACATAAAACAACAGAAGCCTGTTACCTTTGAGGGGAGCCCTAGGATTATTCTTGCTAACTGCCTGAAGAGCTTCCAGGCTGCAGCACAGGAGAACTGAAAGGAAGCCACAGTCTTCCTAGTAGAGGAAATGGAGCTGCTTTTACAGGGGACTGAGGCAACTAGGGTTCCTAAGACAGAGTACTAAAGAAAGAGCTGCCCAAAGAGAGACCCCCAGAGATGTGCAGAGGGTCCCCTCAGAATATGCCACTTACTAGTCAGTGCTGGTGTTTGGAAAAACTACCCCAGGGCAGGCAAAGAGCCATCTGAAAGGGTTAGAGGAACACTCTGAGGAGCTCACATAGGCATCAGAATTATGGCCTATAATTCTATACCCAGCAAAAATATCTTTCAAAAAATTGTTAAATGCAATTTTTTCCTGTTATAGAAAAGCTAGAAAAAAATCATCATGAACAGGCTTATACACTATAAGAAACATTACAATAAAATAAATCTTTCAACAGAAAATGATACTAGATGAAAATATATATCTACACAAAGGAATGAAACACACTGCAAGTAGTAACTACGTGGGTAAATATATGACATATTGAAGTATACTTGAATGTCTTTTAAAAATTATTGAACATTTAAACAGCTGTTTTAAAATAAATAATTGTACTTATAGTAGCTCTCCGTGTCCTAATCCCCAGAATGTATGAATGTTATTTTATATAGCAAAAGGGGATTTGCAGGTATGATTAAATTGATTATCTTGGGATGGGAAAATTGTCTTGGATGATATTATGGGCCCAGTGTGTTTGCATGGGTTCTTCAAAAGAGGGAGACATGAGATCAAATCAAAAGGAGAGAGAGGAGATATCATGATAGAACCAAGAGTTTGGGGTGATGCAAGGAAGGAGCCACAAATCAAGGAATGCAGATGGCCTCGAGAAGTTGGAAAAAGTCTTCGGAAGGAATCAACCCTGCTGCCAGTTGACTTTAGCCCCCTG